GGTATTAGGTCTAACATTTAAGTCTCTAATCCATCTTGAATTAATTTTCGTATAAGGAGTAAGGAAAGGATCCAGTTTCAGCTTTCTACTTATGGCTAGCCAATTTTCCCAGCACCATTTATTAAATAGGGAATCCTTTCCCCATTTCTTGTTTCTCTCAGGTTTGTCAAAGATCAGATGGCTGTAGATGTGTGGTATTATTTCTGAGGACTCTGTTCTGTTCCATTGGTCTATATCTCTGTTTTGGTACCAGTACCATGCTGTTTTGGTTACTGTAGCCTTGTAGTATAGTTTGAAGTCAGGTAGCGTGGTGCCTCCAGCTTTGTTCTTTTGACTTAGGATTGTCTTGGCGATGCGGGCTCTTTTTTGGTTCCATATGAACTTTAAAGCACTTTTTTCCAATTCTGTGAAGAAACTCATTGGTAGCTTGATGGGGATGGCATTGAATCTATAAATTACCTTGGGCAGTATGGCCATTTTCACGATATTGATTCTTCCTATCCATGAGCATGGTATGTTCTTCCATTTGTTTGTGTCCTCTTTTATTTCACTGAGCAGTGGTTTGTAGTTCTTCTTGAAGAGGTCCTTTACATCCCTTGTAAGTTGGATTCCTAGGTATTTGATTCTCTTTGAAGCAATTGTGAATGGAAGTTCATTCCTGATTTGGCTCTCTGTTTGTCTGTTACTGGTGTATAAGAATACTTGTGATTTTTGCACATTAATTTTGTATCCTGAGACTTTGCTGAAGTTGCTTATCAGCTTAAGGAGATTTTGGGCTGAGACAATGGGGTTTTCTAAATATACAGTCATGTCATCTGCAAACAGGGACAGTTTGACTTCTTCTTTTCCTAACTGAATACCCTTGATTTCTTTCTCTTGCCTAATTGCCCTAGCCAGAACTTCCAACACTATGTTGAATAGGAGTGGTGAGAGAGGGCATCCCTGTCTTGTGCCAGTTTTCAAAGGGAATTTTTCCAGTTTTTGCCCATTCAGTATGATATTGGCTGTGGGTTTGTCATAAATAGCTCTTATTATTTTGAGGTACGTTCCATCAATACCGAATTTATTGAGCGTTTTTAGCATGAAGGGCTGTTGAATTTTGTCAAAAGCCTTTTCTGCATCTATTGAGATAATCATGTGGTTCTTGTCTTTGGTTCTGTTTATATGCTGGATTATGTTTATTGATTTGCGAATGTTGAACCAGCCTTGCATCCCAGGGATGAAGCCCACTTGATCATGGTGGATAAGCTTTTTGATGTGTTGCTGAATCCGGTTTGCCAGTATTTTATTGAGGATTTTTGCATCGATGTTCATCAGGGATATTGGTCTAAAATTCTCTTTTTTTGTTGTGTCTCTGCCAGGCTTTGGTATCAGGATGATGTTGGCCTCATAAAATGAGTTAGGGAGGATTCCCTCTTTTTCTATTGATTGGAATAGTTTCAGAAGGAATGGTACCAACTCCTCCTTGTACCTCTGGTAGAATTCAGCTGTGAATCCATCTGGTCCTGGACTTTTTTTGGTTGGTAGGCTATTAATTGTTGCCTCAATTTCAGAGCCTGCTATTGGTCTATTCAGGGATTCAACTTCTTCCTGGTTTAGTCTTGGAAGAGTGTAAGTGTCCAGGAAATTATCCATTTCTTCTAGATTTTCCAGTTTATTTGCGTAGAGGTGTTTATAGTATTCTCTGATGGTAGTTTGTATTTCTGTGGGGTCAGTGGTGATATCCCCTTTATCATTTTTAATTGCGTCGATTTGATTCTTCTCTCTTTTCTTCTTTATTAGTCTTGCTAGTGGTCTGTCAATTTTGTTGATCTTTTCAAAAAACCAACTCCTGGATTCAGTGATTTTTTGGAGAGTTTTTTGTGTCTCTATCTCCTTCAGTTCTGCTCTGATCTTAGTTATTTCTAGCCTTCTGCTAGCTTTCGAATGTGTTTGCTCTTGCTTCTCTAGTTCTTTTAATTGTGATGTTAGAGTGTCAATTTTAGATCTTTCCTGCTTTCTCTTGTGGGCATTTAGTGCTATAAATTTCCCTCTACACACTGCTTTAAATGTGTCCCATAGATTCTGGTATGTTGTATCTTTGTTCTCATTGGTTTCAAAGAACATCTTTATTTCTGCCTTCATTTCGTTATGTACCCAGTAGTCATTCAGGAGCAGGTTGTTCAGTTTCCATGTAGTTGAGCGGTTTTGATTGAGTTTCTTAGTCCTGAGTTCTAGTTTGATTGCACTGTGGTCTGAGAGACAGTTTGTTATAATTTCTGTTCTTGTACATTTGCTGAGGAGTGCTTTACTTCCAATTACGTGGTTGATTTTGGAGTAAGTATGATGTGGTGCTGAGAAGAATGTATATTCTGTTGATTTGGGGTGGAGAGTTCTATAGATGTCTATTAGGTCTGCTTGCTGCAGAGATGAGTTCAATTCCTGGATATCCTTGTTAACTTTCTGTCTCGTTGATCTGTCTAATGTTGACAGTGGAGTGTTGAAGTCTCCCATTATTATTGTATGGGAGTCTAAGTCTCTTTGTAAGTCTCTAAGGACTTGCTTGATGAATCTGGGTGCTCCTGTATTGGGTGCATATATATTTAGGATAGTTAGCTCTTCCTGTTGAATTGATCCCTTTACCATTATGTAATGGCCTTCTTTGTCTCTTTTGATCTTTGATGGTTTAAAGTCTGTTTTATCAGAGACTAGTATTGCAACCCCCACTTTTTTTTTGTTCTCCATTTGCTTGGTAAATCTTCCTCCATCCCTTTATTTTGAGCCTATGTATGTCTCTGCGTGTGAGATGGGTCTCCTGAATACAGCAGACTGATGGGTCTTGACTCTTTATCCAGTTTGCCAGTCTGTGTCTCTGGAGCATTTAGTCCATTTACATTTAAGGTTAAGATTGTTATGTGTGAACTTGATCCTGTCATTATGATATTAACTGGTTATTTTGCTCGTTACTTGATGCAGTTTCTTCCTAGCCTCGATGGTCTTTACATTTTGGCATGTTTTTGCAATGGCTGGTACCGGTTGTTCCTTTCCATGTTTAGTGCTTCCTTCAGGGTCTCTTGTAAGGCAGGCCTAGTGGTGACAAAATCTCTAAGCATTTGCTTATCTGTAAAGGATTTTATTTCTCCTTCACTTATGAAACTTAGTTTGGCTGGATATGAAATTCTGGGTTTAAAATTCTTTTCTTTAAGAATGTTGAATATTGGCCCCCACTCTCTTCTGGCTTGGAGAGTTTCTGCTGAGAGATCTGCTGTTAGTCTGATGGGCTTCCCTTTGTGGGTAACCCGACCTTTCTCTCTGGCTGCCCTTAAGATTTTTTCCTTCATTTCAACTTTGGTGAATCTGGCAAGTATGTGTCTTGGAGTTGCTCTTCTCGAGGAGTATCTTTGTGGCGTTCTCTGTATTTCCTGGATTTGAATGTTGGCCTGCCCTACTAGGTTGGGGAAGTTCTCCTGGATGATATCCTGAAGAGTGTTTTCCAACTTGGTTCCATTTTCCCCCTCACTTTCAGGCACCCCAATCAGAGGTAGATTTGGTCTTTTTACATAATCCCATACTTCTTGCAGGCTTTGTTCATTTCTTTTTCTTCTTTTTTCTTTTGGTTTCTCTTCTCGCTTCATTTCATTCATTTGATCCTCAATCGCAGATACTCTTTCTTCCAGTTGATCGAGTCGGTTACTGAAGCTTGTGCATTTGTCACGTATTTCTCGTGTCATGGTTTTCATCTCTTTCATTTCGTTTATGACCTTCTCTGCATTAATTACTCTAGCCATCAATTCTTCCACTATTTTTTCAAGATTTTTAGTTTCTTTGCGCTGGGTACGTAATTCCTCCTTTAGCTCTGAGAAATTTGATGGACTGAAGCCTTCTTCTCTCATCTCGTCAAAGTCATTCTCCGTCCAGCTTTGATCCGTTGCTGGCGATGAGCTGCGCTCCTTTGCCGGGGGAGATGTGCTCTTATTTTTTGAATTTCCAGCTTTTCTGCCCTGCTTTTTCCCCATCTTTGTGGTTTTATCTGCCTCTGGTCTTTGATGATGGTGATGTACTGATGGGGTTTTGGTGTAGGTGTCCTTCCTGTTTGATAGTTTTCCTTCTAACAGTCAGGACCCTCAGCTGTAGGTCTGTTGGAGATTGCTTGAGGTCCACTCCAGACCCTGTTTTCCTGGGTATCAGCAGCAGAGGCTGCAGAAGATAGAATATTTCTGAACAGCGAGTGTACCTGTCTGATTCTTGCTTTGGAAGCTTCCTCTCAGGGGTGTACTCCACCCTGTGAGGTGTGGGGTGTCAGACTGCCCCTAGTGGGGGATGTCTCCCAGTTAGGCTACTCAGGGGTCAGGGACCCACTTGAGCAGGCAGTCTGTCCCTTCTCAGATCTCAACCTCCGTGTTGGGAGATCCACTGCTCTCTTCAAAGCTGTCAGACAGAGTCGTTTGCGTCTGCAGAGGTTTCGGCTGTGTTTGTTATTGCCCTGTCCCCAGAGGTGGAGTCTACAGAGACAGGCAGGTTTCCTTGAGCTGCTGTGAGCTCCACCCACTTCGAGCTTCCCAGCAGCTTTGTTTACCTACTTAAGCCTCAGCAATGGCGGGCGCCCCTCCCCCAGCCTTGCTGCTGCCTTGCTGGTAGATCACAGACTGCTGCGCTAGCAATGAGGGAGGCTCCGTGGGTGTGGGACCCTCCCGGCCAGGTGTGGGATATGATCTCCTGGTGTGCCTGTTTGCTTAAAGCGCAGTATTGGGGTGGGAGTTACCCGATTTTCCAGGTGTTGTGTGTCTCAGTTCCCCTGGCTAGGAAAAGGGATTCCCTTCCCCCTTGCGCTTCCCAGGTGAGGCGATGCCTCGCCCTGCTTCAGCTCTCGCTGGTCGGGCTGCAGCAGCTGACCAGCACCGATCGTCCGGCACTCCCCAGTGAGATGAACGCAGTACCTCAGTTGAAAATGCAGAAATCACCAGTCTTCTGTGTCGCTCGCGCTGGGAGTTGGAGACTGGAGCTGTTTCTATTCGGCCATCTTGCTCTGCCCCACAACATGGTTTTTTATGTGAGTTTTTTACAATACAAACAAAAAATACAGAAATGCAATATATGAATACAGCTAAACGCAGAATGGTGACTTTTTTTCTCTTCAAGAGGCCATGATTCCCATTTCTAGTAAAATAAAGAGACTGCATATAGGTAGAAACAGGTAGGTTATTAGCTTCACAATTTTGCTTAGAAATGATCTATAAATGCATTTTCCCCCTGCTACTTATCATAAAGTGTAAAAAGGGAGTTAAAGGAAAGTTTCCCTGTTGGTTCCTACCACATGAAAGATGTTATATTCTATTTTAGCAGGGTCAATATATGGAAAATATCTAAATTAAATGTTATTACAAAAATGAAGCAGTAATGAGATTCTGGCTAAACAGGGCACTAAATGAGAATAATATATATTTAAAGAATCCAAAATAAACAAACAAAAGGAGGTTGTTATAAAAAAGCTCCAGGTGCACTGTAAGCACATAGGGTTTTTTCCCATGTGTATTTTTAAACAACGGAAGTGTCAAAAAATAGGGTCAACTGTGTCAGACTAAATTACATTATGTATATGCTGCATTGAATGGAACCTCTGTATTATAATCATCATAGAGAAGCACAGTTTGCATCATATTATGGCAGCTTATCCTCAATGAAAATCTTCCAGAGTCTTTTTATTTTGGAATCTCATATAAACTATCAAATCACCAGAACATGATTGTACAACAGTAAAATGTTCTCTTGCATTAAACTGAAGATACCTGTTTAATAAAAAAAAGAAAAAGAAAATGTAGGAAAGGTACTTAGAGCTGTTAGTTTGTAAGTACACAACACCCTAGACAATTCAAGGCATCTTAATCTCCATCAAGAAGAACAACAACAAAAATAATTTTTGTCATGCTGTTAAATCCATCATTATGGATAAAACTGGTGCAAACTGGTCAAACGGATGCAACAAACACTGATGTCCAAGCTGGCATATTAGCAACTAATACATAACTGGTGGTCAATAGAGAGTTTAAAAGATCTTCCCTTTCTTCTTGTTCTTTTCCAAGGTTGTAAATGATGAAAGGAAAATAATCAAGATGAGTAACCATTTTATAAACATGATAGACAACATGATAACAATTTTTCATCTAAAAAAATTACAAGATTTAGAAGTAAACAACAAAGATAATGTTAATCTATAATAGTATTTTCTTAGACAATCAAATATTTGACAAAATTCCAGGATAAGCAGTAAAAAATATGGCAAAACCCCATTTTAATATACAAGAACAATTCTTCCCAAATAAAACCGCACAAACTGAAAAATATCAACTGGCATCAAACAGTGTGTTCTCTTCCCCCGCTGTCATTTGCATTCTGAAGTGCAACTGCTTCTACAAATCTATTTTCCTCTTTTTTGGGGAAAATGTTAACAGTAGGCTAGTGTAGTAGAACAAATGTCAAATCTGAAAACGTTTAGTAGTGAGGATAAATTATAGAATCCTGATAGGAATGCCACTTTTCAGTTTTAAATGAAACTATGAAGGAAAAGAAAACCAAGGCACGAATATTATTGATTTTTATACACATTAAGAGAAAGTAATTGATTAGCTGTATTGGAAATTAAATATCTAATATTTTGTCTTAAGAATTTTATCGTAAAAACATAATTCAACACAATTAAAACGTACCCTAAATATGTAATAGATTTTGAAGCAAAGTTCCCTTTGTGTGCCAAAAATTGAAAACAACCCTTTTGTCAAACAATTTGAGGGAGAAGGTAAGAAATCCAATTATGGTGAGTTAACTGGGGAGAATGTTATGAAGTTGCTAAATCATAATTATGAAATTAAGTCATGGAAAATGTACTGAAAAAGTATTGCTAATGGATATAGACTGTATCCATCCATATAAAAATATTTATCCATGAAAACCATTGTGTTTGGAATGCATGATAATGGGGGATGACTTTTTAAATGTTATTCTAATGTTTTTTAAATAAGTAGGAAAACAATTCTTTAAAACGTTAATAAACACATTTCTTAGTAATCTGCTATTAGTTACCTCGAAGAGTTCTGTTGCTCTAAAATACATTGTTGAGCTTCCCAGTTTGCTTTCTCATCCTCAAAGTGATGACATTTTTCCTCTAATTCTTTGTGCTGTGCTTCCAAATTATTTTTCAGTTGCTCATGGTGCCGCTGGAGCTAAATGACAGCACAATATATATCCCAAGGATACTGCCTTCCTCTGATGCTTTTGTCATTAACTTCAATGATAATATTACTACCCACCACAGCAAGAGGTAAACGGTCCCATAAAACAAAGTATTCTTGTTCAAATACATCTCTGTAGTCCTCACAGATTCAAGAATAAAAGTTACGTTACTCAACAGATTAGCCAAAAAAAAAATTACTTTTGATAGTTTTTAGTTTTTATAGGCCATTTAACAACTATTTAGTAAATTGCCAACACCACCAATGTAAACAATAAATAAAATTAAATTTTCTCTTTAAAGTTAGGTATATTCAAGCACATACTGGTCAAATTATTTACTAAAAATCACTACAGAAAGTTGTCCCATACTTCGCAGGGAAAAAAGGTAAAAAATATATTAGCATTTGAGGAAAAAAAAAGGAGGCTAGTGACTAGCCTGCCTACTTGATCATGAACCAACTGTAACAGTACCTAAAGCAGGGAATAGTATATTTGCTAAGCTCTAACTTTGGAACTTCAAATCCAGGTGACTGGATTTGTATTCATCCATGCATAGCCTTTCACAATTCTGTGGCTCCTGGAAATATCTAACCAGGTATTTTATACAATTCAGAAATTCTTCACTGGTGAGGTATAAGCATTTCATTATTCCAAGGTATATGTCTACACAATGCCATTATTCCATATACCATTTTTAGGGCCAAAGTACTTAGAAAACCATGATAAATTAAAATATAGAAAATTATGTTGATGTGACTTTTTGGTTGGTTTTTATTATTTTTAATTGAAACATAATTGCACATATTTCTGGGGTACAGCATGCTATTCTGATACCTGTAAACAAATACGTAATGAACAAATTAGGGTAATTAGCACATTTGTCAGCTCACACTTATTTTTGTGTATTGAGAACATTCACAATCCTCTCTTCTAGCTATTTGAATATAGACCAAATTACTGTTAACTACAGCCACCCTACAATGCTACAGAATGCTAGAACTTATTCCTCCTATCTAACTGTAATTTTGGTTGGCTTTTATAAAGACAAAAGAAATACATTTTTGTCTGGCAATTAAATCATAACAGAATGAATTCTCTCCTTTCTCATCACTTGTTTTTTAAGAGGGAAAAATTACATAATATGAAAACCAGTTAATTAAAAACAATTTGAAATAAGGATTTGTGTTATTCATCTTGGTAGTTTATACAATTCTTTATTATATATACTAGCTAATCTTCAAAGTTAACTATAAAGTTGAATTCAACATTAAATCTCCCTAGGCATTTTGTAAGTCAACTACTTAAAACACTGATACTTTTTATCTTTCCTGTGGACGTGGTAGCATGTTTTTAGGGCCTCAGATTACGTTAGTGTATGTATAGGGATGAACCTACCTTTATCTTTTTAACACGTTTATTTTCTTCTTCATCATCTGTTTCTGGAAATTCATATATTTTAATTTTATGTTCTTGGATTTCTTTTATTATCTAAAATGGAAGAAGTAGTCAGCAAAAGAGCACCATACATAATTAATACATTAGTCTCATGTTTATTGCATGCTTCTTAGATTCCTATATGGCTCCTTGTTTCCAGATCCTTTACTGTTTTTTAATAATGCAAAGTTTTAATCTAAAATCAAATTACTCTGCTGTTCTTTTTTTTTAAAACTGTAAAGTGGATATATAAACACCAAATCCAATTACTTCAGAAGTGTTAAAGTCATATAGCTATCATACCAAAAGAGTTCCAAAACAGATGTAAAACTCCAGAAAGGGATTTCTCTGATTGACTTCCACAATAATGACAGTAGGTCATTTCTTTACAATGACTGAGATTCTTCCTTTAGATATAAATCCCCAAGTATCTTATTTAGTTGAATAAACAGGGCTACACTCACGTAAAATTTTTAGTAGAATCTGGCAAAAGTAAAGTAAAACTAAGTACAGCACTGCTCCCTGCACATTCATCAGAAAAATCCTTGCATGTACATGTGCATACACACAAATTGAGGAGCAACAGGCATAAGATTAGGGAAGGACACAGGGAGAAAACACACCCTAGAATTAATAAGGAGAATGCAGAAAACTAAAGAAGACAACTTATTAATAATATTAGAAATGACCTAGTTCATAAAATTGTCATGTCCAAAATCACTCCAAATTCTAAACAGAATATAGACATCCAAATACTTTTCAATTACCTATCCTTCTTTGAGCCCATAACAAACCAATGGCTAATATACCTAAAACTAGCTTCCTTGCCTATACTTATATTTTGGTGCAATTTTCATGGCAAAGCTTCCCAGCAGCTATAAAAGGACCCGGAACAAATTGTGTTACATGGTTATTATACTAGATAGAAGTAAACAGAAATAAAGTTGGCACTGAAAAAAAATAGGATCATACATCTTTTACAATTAGGGTATGTACCTACATATATATTTAAAAAAAAAAGAATAAACAAGGCGACAAATACATAATGAAGAGAAAAATGAGTAATAGTAGCCAGCTCTAAAAGCAGTGGTTTTAGTCAGAGGTTGTATATTAAAATGACCTGAGTACAACCACCAGAATGTCACCAATTTGAAAGAAGAGGTCACTTCATATTCATCTTTTTTCCCTTTAAGTTAGAAGTAAAAATCCAAATCAAAATATTATATGATCATATTTGACACTTAGAAATAGCACATTAAAAAATAAAAATGGGAATGGGTAAGTATAAAACAGAAAATACTAGATACAGTAAAAACAATGTACTAAAACATTCTGAAAATTTATATGAATTTAGCACAACTTCAAAGCAAATTTTAACAGGCTTTTAATGAAAGGTTTCAAGGTACTCTGAAATGAAATGCATATTGAAAAAAGTGAAAAACAAAATATTTTGTTACAACAGGACTATATGGACAATAGAGTTAATTACAATCTATTTTTAAATATTATACAAAGTTGTTGTGGTTTAAACAATATACTACTGGCCAAAAAATAAAGACTACTGGAGTAGAGAAAGGTTCCACAATTGACCCTACTTTTCATAAAATGTAATATATAATGAACCAAACACAATTAAATTAGAAACACGTGTGACTGTGTAACTCACTATTATTGAGACAACAAGACATGAGTCTAGAAAAACAGTTTAGTGGTCTTCCAGCTAGCTCAGTCATACAGCACGAGACTCTTAATCTTAGGATCATGGGTTTGAACTTAAACTATAAATATATAACTTACACTATAGTTATAATGTTAGTTATAACTTAAACTATACATATCTAATATATTTATATTAATATAACTATAAATATTTAAGTTACAACTTAAACTATAAAGTCCCATGAAGTGCACGAAAAAAAAATTAGGACATAAGCAGCAAAAGAAAAAACAGAAAAAATATTGTGAAAACAAGAGAGAACTAAATACCCGTAATAAGAAGAACCCATATCAATAAATACGGGCAATACCAAGTACTACTGGTCAAAAAGACAAAGGATTTGAACAAAAAGGATTACAAAAAGGGGCAAAAAAACTTTGTTTTTAAAATGTTCAGCCTTTCTGAAAAATAAAAGGAAAAGATGAAGAATGATTAGGTACCACTTCATTCCAAAAAAGTTTTCAAAATAAAATAACAAACCCTGCTGGCAAAGTCACAGTGAAACAGATGTATGCCTTATAAAATGAATTTGTTTTATTGGGAAAGCACCATGACAAAATGGGGAGTGGGGAGATAAAGACCCATAAAAACAATCACAGCCTTTAAAAGAATAATCCTCTTCCTGGGAATTCATTCTAAGGAAATAATTCTAAAGAGTATGGGGAGAAATTGCCCATGTGGGGGTGTTATTAAAGAACACTTAAAACAGCCATATTTAAAAACCGACAAAGGATAAGGATACTATGATAATGAGTAAGAGCTTTGAGGTGAAAACTAAGGCAGAAGATTCGAAAGTTATTTTTAATACAGTATAAATGACAATACAGTAAAGCAGTAAGAGGAATGGATTGCAACACATTATACTAAAAATAGTAAAAACTGCAAATTGTGAGAATGGCATAAGAAACCTGAGAATGGCATAAGAAACATCCTGCTCACCTGTTTTGTAAACTGTTGGCATTCCTCTGGTGTGAGTGTCTGCTTTGGCATTAAATGGAATGATACTCACTTTTTCATGCAAGTGCTTCATAAACTCAATATCCAATGGTTTAAGTCTGAAATACATAGTATTTAATATGACTGAATTGATTAGTTTGAGAGAACAAGAGTCTTCACATCCCCAATGCTAAGTTAACACATCCTACTTTATTTACTTATCAGAAACACTGTGAAGATGTATTAGGCCAGCAAAAGTTAGGTAGAACAGGACTTCAAGAAGCATTGGAGTGGCTAAGGCTTTGACTCCTGCCCTTGAACCCTGGTCACAGGTTTTTTGCCCTAAAGAGGAATTGGAAAAACCAGAAAGGCTCCTGATAGAATTTCCTAGAATTATCTCTATATTTATTACTCAAAATTTACAAGGTTTTAAAATTTTATTTATTTATTTACTTATTTATTGTTTTAAAGACAGGGTCTCTCTCTGTTGCCCCAGCTGGAGTACAGTGTTGTAATCTCAGCTCACTGCAACCCACCTCCCAGGCTCAGGAGAACCTCCCACCTCAGCCTCCTGAGTGGCTGCGACTACAGGTGCGCACCACCATGCCTGCCTAATTTTCATACTTTTTTTTTGTAGATACGAGGTCTCGCCAGGTTGCCCAGGCTGGAAGATTTATTTTTAATGAAAAATGGTAGTCCTCTTTCAACTCCACATTCAGTTCTTGCTACCAACTATCTTCCTCTGACAAGATGCTCACAAGATAATCTCCTTCAACATCCCTTTTATTCATTACAATCTGGCTGCTGTCTCATTTGCCTCTATACTTTCAAGAAGCTGACTAAATACTTCCACCATGGTGCTTACCATTACTTATTCTCTCATAAGCTCTTTTTCCTTAGGATAATTTCCAGGATCCTCTTAGTAAGCTAGTCCCTTAAGAGGTATAGTCTTTAGAATCCCCTATCAGGCCTTCTCTTCTTACCCTACATTCAGTACAATGATCATGACTACAATAGATTTTAATTATCTTCAATTGGTCAATTGACTCTCAAATCTTCATACACAGCCCATATCTCACTGTTAAGTTCCAGATTTGTGTTTACCCAGTGGATATGCTACCCAGGTGTTCTATGGGCTCCTTAAAATCAAAAGCTTATCTGAACCCCATTTTCCCTCTTCTATGCTTCCTATCTCAGTGAACGGCACCACAGTCTACCCAATTACTTTATTTTATTAAACAAATTTAAATATTTTTAAAAATTTAAATTATTTAATTTACTTAAATTTAAATACATTATTTAATTTTTAAAATTAAATAAAGTGTGAAACCTAGGATTCCTCCCCTCCTCTAATCCTCTTCCCATATATATAGTATGTGTATAGATGTATGTATGTAAGTATGTATGTATATCTCCATTTCCATTACTTTAGGCCACCAAGACCTTTGGAATGAATAACTATAATACAAACCATCCATACTGAAGTCAGAGTGGTCTTTCTAAATCTAAATCTTATTGAGTTATGCCCTGACCAAAAATCTTATTAAAGACCAGATGCCTTAATTAGTATGGACTATGAGGCTTGTGAAGACATAGATTCTCCAGCTGACCTTATCTCTTAGCATTCCTTGCTTTTCTTTTGCCTCCTACTTCCAATGTGCCAGCCTTTTTGAACTTCTTACAATTCCTTGAAAGCACCACACTTTGACATCTGGCCACAGGCCACTACCTTGGCTGGAACACCCTCCATTATCATCCTCCTTCTCCTTGGCCTGGCTAATTCCTATTTATCCTTCAGGACATTGGCTTACGATCCAATTTCCACTGGGAATCCTTCTCTAACCTAAGATTAGGCATATTTCTATGTGGTCACAACACCTAATATGCTGTATAGTAACTGCCTGCCTGCATACAGATGCTTCCTCACTAACTATGGTTCCACTTAACAATTTTTCAACTTTCTGATAGTGTGCAAGATGCATTGAATAGAAACCATACAATCATTCTGTTTTTTACTTTCAGTATCGTATTCAATAACTTACATAAGCTATTCAAAACATTATTACAAAATAGGTTTTATGTTAGATGATTTTGCCTAGCTGTAGGCTACGCTGTAATGTTTAGCAGGCAAGGTGTATCAAGCATATCTTCAACTTATGATGGTTTATGTAACCCTGTCTCAAGTTGAGGAGCATCTGTATTTGTTTCTCCCGTCTTCTCACTGAAATACCCTCCACAGTGAGGGCCTTATCTCATTCATCCGTATCCTCAGCACCTAGCATGGTATCTAACACTCGAGAAGGTGCCCAAATATTTGTTGACAAAAAAAGTAAGCTGCTGTGATTTTCCTTATGTCCTTTAGTAATTCTAAATGAGAACCAAAGTCCTCAAATCTAGAATATACTGTGGACTAAAATTTAATGTTTCACAAGAATAAATGAAGATACTAGAAATATTCTGCAAAAGACTACCATTCTAAAGTGGTATTCTTTAACTTTTATAAAAACATGAGAAAAACAAAATAAAGGTCTCATTCTCTTATTAATTTTATTGAGTAATACTAATAATTGAATTGACTGACATTTCAAAATGAAGAAAGAGAAACATATATATTAAAATTGGGGGAGTTAGGGCCCTAAGACTAATAAGATAGTCCAGTCCTTTTTATTAACAAAGATGACTGTATATCTTCACTGTGGTGGTGAGGCTGACAGGCAGAAAGACAGAGACAGTGAGGGGGAGAAAGCAGACATGGAGAATTCAGAGTGTTGCCTCCTGTTCTAATTCTTCTTGTCTGAAGTCCCTGGAAATTTGACACTGGCATTCAGGGAGCACAATGAAAAAAAGTGTGTGGTTGGAATAACACTGTTTATATTATCTGTAAACTGTGTTCTTGCCTCATTAGTATTAACTGAAAGAACCTATCCATTTTTATTTATTTTTTTGACAGGATCTTGCTCTGTAACCCAGGCTGGAGTGCAGCGGTGTAGTCATAGCTTACCATAGCCTCCAATTCTTCTACTTCGACTCCTGAGTAGCTAGGACTATGGGAGTGTGCCTCCACACCCAACTAATTTTTTTTTTTTTTTTTTTGAGTTTCGCTCTTATTGCCCAGTCTGGAGTGCAATGGCACAATCTTGGCTCACTGCAACCTCTGCCTCCCAGGTTCAGGCGATTCTCCCGCCTCAGCCTCCTGAGTAGCTGGGATTACAGGCATCTGCCACCATGCCCAGCTAATTTTTGTATTTTTACTAGAGACAAAGTTTCACCATGTTGGCCAGGCTGGTCTTGAACTCCTGACCTCAGGTGATCCACCTGCCTCAGCTTCCCAAAATGCTGGGATTACAGGCATAAGCCACTGCATCTGGCCTGAATCTATCCGTCTTTGAAAAAAAATCTAAGTTTTGTTTCTTTTCATTAATCAGTATATAAAACACTAAATATAAATGCCATGAAATATTCAATCTCAGATTTCTAAATTGTTATGGGTTTTCAATTTATACTCATAACAAATTTAAATTGTCACTGCCTTATTATTATGTCAGATACAAATCTGCTTATTAATCAAGTGACAAAACAATAGAGTTTAATCTAAATTTTATTTATTTATTTATTTATTTATTTATTTATTTATTTATTTTTGAGACGGAGTCTCGCTCTGTCGCCAAGGCTGGAGTGCAGTGGCCGGATCTCGGCTCACTGCGAGCTCCGCCTCCGGTGTTTAGGCCATTCTCCTGCCTCAGCCTCCCGAGTAGCTGGGACTACAGGCGCCCGCCACCTCGCCCGGCTAGTTTTTTGTATTTTTTAGTAGAGACGGGGTTTCACCATGTTAGCCAGGATGGTCTCGATCTCCTGACCTCGTGATCCGCCCGTCTTGGCCTCCCAAAGTGCTGGGATTACAGGCTTGAGCCACCGCGCCCAGCCGTTAATCTAAAATTTTAATAAATCTTAAAGGCATTTAATATAAAGTATTAAAATCCAAATAACAAGATTTTATATTTAAACACAAAACAATACTTGCTGAATATTTATTATAATATCCCAACTTTTAAAGAGAAAGATATTTAAAAATAAACATGACAAGGAAATTAGGGAAGTCAACTTCTTAAACATAACCAAAGGGTCAAAAAACATTTAGGTCAGTTTAAAAGTTAAACTTTAGGAAAAAAGGTAAACCTTGTAAAAGTCTCATTAAATTTCAGAAGCCTACAAAACATCAGCAACAGAAAACATTTAGTTCACATGTATATTACATTCTGGTTGAATTTTTTCCTCTGTCCATTTAGTTTTATATTGGCTGGGCTTTTCATCAAGAAATTTAGTTTTTAAATCTTGTTTTTAAGCAATAGCAAATCCTTTGTCATAAATAGAAGATAAACCCACACTAGAGAGAAAAGACTATTTAACCTCAAAGTCTACAGCATAGTAAACAACTACAGGACAAATGACAATTTTTTTTGTATGTATGTATATATTTCTAAGGGAAAAATCCTTCTGTATAAAACTCACTGGATGATACCAATTTTTCTAAAAGTGTTAATCAATACTAGAAGGATAAAACACCATTTTAAAAATCATGTCTCAAGTCAGCTTTTTACTTTAATAACAATTACAAAATAGTGAACAATGCACATGAAGCAATAATAGTTGAAATCACAAATTAGCCATGCATGCAGTTCATACTTGGTAGAGGGAGGTAGGAGGCACTGAAAGTACACTGTTGGACCAATTTATAATTACTCTAAAAACAAATCCCTCTAAAAAGGGAAGCTAGGGACTACCCAGACAAGATGGAAAGGTTCTCATTCATTTATTAGACTGCATAGAATTTCAATCTGTAGTGAGGAGGGTATCTGGAACGCTGTACATAAAATTCTGTGTCATATTCTTTTTTTTTTTTCCTTGAGACAGAGTTTTGCTTTGTTGCCCAGGCTGGAGCACTGGTGAAATCTCAGCTCACCGCAACCTCCACCTCCCGGGTTCAAGCGATTATCCCGACTCAGCCTCCCTAGTAGCTGGGATTACAGGTATGTACCACCACGGCCGGCTAATTTTGTATTTTTAGTAGAGAAGGAGTTTTTCCATGTTGGTCAGGCTGGTCTTGAACTCTCGACCCCAGGTGATCCACCCACCTCAGCCTCCCACAAAGTGCTGGTATTACAGGTGTGAGCCACTGTCTCCGGCCTCATATTTTTTTCACTTAATCCACAGTATCATGTACAAATGGGCAAAACTTTGCTCCATTTCTAAAAATAGTTAAACTGAGAAATTATTGAAAGGTACATTTTTATGTATAAGATATAGCAATTTTAAACATCTTACCCCTTGTGACAAATAAGAAATGGCACAAAGCCACTATATATCATCTGAATATAATTTTTTTTTTATTTTAGAAAAGCTTTCATTTCCCATGCAATTTTAAGAAATAAAATTTTCCCCAAGGGGATGGAAGGAATGTGATTTCATGAGAATTACTAAACTTGGAGAGAGTCCAGAAGATCTAAAATAATAATATTGGTTATAAGCTGACAAATTGTATTGACTTAACTGCAGGTTAAGATTTCACTCAGCTGGCTTTCAGGAAAAGACCCTGACAAGGTAAACGAGAAAGATTTAAAAACATAAATTCAAGAAGCTACACAAACACTCATGAAAAGTTATACAGTGTGTGGTATTTTTGAGATTACTTTTTTTGAGCCTTTTAAGTCAAAGAGTCAGTTTAGTGATTTAAATATGTAAATTGAGAACACCATAAAATGATAGACTGGATTAAGAAAATGTGGCACATATACACCATGGAATACTATGCAGCCATAAAAAAGTATGAGTTCATGTCCTTTGTAAGGACATGGATGAAGTTGGAAACCATCATTCTGAGCAAACTATTGCAAGGACAGAAAACCAAACACTGCACGTTCTCACTCACAGGTAGGAACTGAACAATGAGAACAATTGGACACAGGGCTGGGAATATCACATATTGAGGCCTGTCATGGGGCGACAGGATGGGCGAGGGATAGAATTAGGAGAAATACCTAATGTAAATGATGAGTTAATGTATGCAGCAAACCAACATGGCATATGTATATATATGTAACAAACCTGCACATTGTGAACATGTACCCTAGAACTTAAAGTATAATAATAATAACTGAAATTACCTCAACAAAAGGCAACACCAAGTAGTTACAAACACGTACTACCCAATCCTGACTGAAGGTGGGAGTCTTCAGTTATGCAATGGTCTAGGGCACAGCAAAAAAAATAAGAGTATTAGACATAAAAGAAGAAACATTTTTAACCCACTCCAATCCAACAGTGCAAAAATATAAGTATATAATTAAGGCTCCCTTATCCATCTAGAGTAATAATGGGCATTGACTCATCTATTAAAAAAAAAAAAAGAGAGAGAGCAAGAAGCCAAAAATAGAAGAGAAAGGTATACTTGAAGGAATTGGTTTTCACTACTGTACTGTGAGTGTTAGATAACTTAATGCTATTCAGCCTGATGCTGCTACAATTCTTTTGGGGGGGAGATGGTGGAGTTACAATTATCAGGTGGCTGAATTATATATGCTGAGTTACTTACCCAAAGGAAAAGACTGAGGAAGAATAATTGGAAAAATCTGCATTTGTCAATGACACATATATGTACTCAAAATGAAAGGGGAAGTACAAACAACAAAAAAGGGAGTACGGGCTAACTATAACAAACAGAACAACCACATCAGATTAATGTCTAGATATTTAGTTCTTATGTTCTAATAAACAAAAAGTTAGTACTGATAATATGATACCTAAATGACATGTCTATGACAGCTACAGTGAAACAGAAGCCAAATAGATTATTGTAGAAAGAAATGGCACAAGAAAACATTGGCATGCAAGTGCTTTTGATAACCATCTCTTACGAGACTTATAATAAATAGCATCTTTGAGTTTATTTTGAATATGTCTAACTGGGATGGCTGCTTCTCTTTATTTGGTAGTTCAATTAGTAGCAGGGTGGTCAACATGAAAGCTAAATTTGCCACATTGAGACCTCAAACCATGGTGGCAACACTGTTTATTTCCGTGAAGCAGGGAAAATCCTTATGAATGAAGAACTAAGGAGTAAAATCACTGTTAGCTTATACAGGACTTAAAAAGGCTTTTCAACTAAGACATTTCTATATGAAATTTGGTACTTTATAATGGGTATAGTCATATATATGTCACAAACTTAAAGATTACTAAAATATGCACATAAAGGTAACAGTAAGCAACAGCAACAACAAAAGGAATCAGAAGTGTCAAGGTACTGACCCATGTTCTGAAGGAGCAATGAAGTATAAACAACACTGCACCGTTATCAGGCATCTAACGTCTGTCCACTCGTGATCCTGCATTTAGGTAGTCCTCAGATTTACTAGCAATGTAATCGATAACAGGCTTCCAGCTAAAGAATGCAAACAAACAAAACAAGTTGCAATTCTACATATGAATTAACTGATGACTGTTAAAGGACAATAATCAATATTTTCAAACAGGCAAAATGAATTTACCAGTGGAAGATATGTCAAGTTATTCTATATAAAGGTTCAAAAATATAAATTATGTTGAATAAATCTTTATTCATTATTTCAAAACCTTCCAAATGAAAGAAAATAAACTATTTATTATCGAAACACAGCTAAATAATTAGCATATTATTTGCACTAATAAGTGTATTGGTAACTTTATTTCACTGAAGCAGTGAAAACCAACTTGGGTTTTTTAATAATGACTGACTTTTTTCTTTGGGAATATATTACTGGAAAATGTAGATTATTAGATACATTACTTTTAATGAATATATTGGTAACACTTCATAATATGAAAACAATTATATTCAGTTTCAAATTTCAAATGAGAGATTAAATAATATAAAAACTTCATGATGAACTTAGGAGTTTTAAGAGTTGACAGAAAAATACCTCAAAAACAATGTGAATTCAAACAAAAATAAAAATATTATTTATAAAATACTAAGATAATTACTTCAGACTAACATTTCATAGTTGTTTTCTTCACTTAGGACTTATGGAAAAACTGAAGGTCTAAATATCAGGTTTAAATTAGGATTGAGATAGAATTTATACAAATGGATAAAACTAGAGCAAACAGTTTTAAATTTCTTACAATGAGAATTCTATCTAGCTACATTATTTTAGAGTATGTCTTAAAAACAATTTTATGATAGGTATTAACTCCATTTTATAGAAAAGTAAATGGGTTCAAAGAAGTTAAACAACTTGATAAAGTTGCAAAGTTCTTATACAAACCCAAGTCATGTTACTTGAAGTTTGATGACCTTTGCTAAGATGAGAAGTGGCTACAGGCTGCTGCACCATTTAATGAAAAGTGCATATCTAGAGTCTAGCCCCATGCTCTATACAGTGTGATCTACTATCCAGCAGCATCAGTATCACCTGGGATCTTGTTAGAAATGTAGAAATACAGCCCATCTCAGACCTACTAGAACTACATTTAACAGGATACCCAGGATTGGAATGCATAGCAAAGACTGAGAAGCAGTAAATTAGATCACATACACCTTGGAAGTCTTACAGAATTGCTATTGCCATTCAACTACGATATGGTATTATCCCACTGACTAATATAGAACACTCTATTTAAATAACAATAGCTTTTCTATGAATCGTGTTTTTTCTACATTGTCCAATGCAATTTTCTGCAATGATGAAAATCTTCATATATGTGCTGCAAAAATGGCGGCCACTTGCCACATGTGGCTGTTGAGCACTTGAAATGTATCTGGAGCAAATGAGAGATTGCATTTTTACTTTAATTAATTTTAATTGATTTATACATGTGGCAAATGACTATCATGCTAGATAGCACAACTCCAGGGGAACTGGTTACTATGTCACAGTGTCATCTCTAGGAGAGTCCTTAGGACAAATTTGGAAAGTTCTAGTCAAGATAATTCTTCTGATTAACTGTACTTCTCCTTTTTTATTTTAATTTTATGAAGTCATATCTACTATCTTACACTGGCTAAGGGCAAGTTTGCATCTTACCTCTAAGAAAGCATAATAAAAGTTACAACGTGTGCTTCGTGTGTATTAATATTATTCCAGCTTATCATCAATTAACAATACTAATATCCATACCTGTACAGTCTTTCTAATTCTATGAGAAGGACCTGGATACTCTGGAGAATACAAATCTGTGGGGAATAATGAGTTGATTAATGTCGACTTTCCCAATCCAGATTTGCCTAAAAGAAGTAAGGAAAAATATCTGTTAAACTCACCCAATTTACCCAACCTTAAATATACAACAGATGCTAGAATCGAACTGGCTTTATGCAAGTACTTCTTGGTGAGACAATGAAATGACATTAGAAAATATGCTACAAAGAATAAGTATCTTGTCCTCAGTTTCTTAGCTATCAAATTAAACTCATGTTTCCAAGGATTCTTTTCAGCCTTTTAATTATACCACTTATATTCATTAAAAGTAATGTATCTAATAATCTACATTTTTCCAGTAATGTATTCCCAAAGAAAAAAGTCAGTCATTATTAAAAAACCCAAGTTGGTTTTCACTGCTTCAGTGACTAAAGTTTTTCTTTATTAACAGACAATAATGAATGAACAATAAACAAGAAATCATGCAGCTATAAAAAGCAAAAATCTGCTAATACAAAGAATAATTAATCACAATGAACATCTCCATATAAAATTCTAAATTACAAAAAATACTTTGTAATTTAGCCACCCATCGGCCTAAATATAAGGGTGTTTCTCCACAAAACAGAATCCAAAAAATCTTAGGTAACTACTTATTCTACTGCTTCTACTTGAGGTAGGAGGTAGACACAAAGGAAGCTAGGGCATGATTCCTACTCCAATCACATACTCTTTTTTGACCCTCCATGTCTAGTCCAATACACACAGTCTAGTGTATAGTAACTACCATAAGTATACCAAAACATAAATGGCTTCAAGGTATATATAACCTAAGTTTAGAACCAATTATAAATCATATTATGATAATTAACATGGCACAGAGTTAAACTCTTTAATGTTAATAATAATTCACTTAGCATAATAGGCATGTTTAGCCTAAGTAACTGATGTCACAATACTTTTATGTCTAGGAGGAATTCTTTTTATATTAGCTCTCAAAAGAGATAAGATCCTTTCCATGTGGTTTGGGCTTGCCCCTTTAACTGAGAGCATGCCACCTTTTACTAGAGGTTGATGTATAACTCAACTCAGAGTTGAGGATGAAAAGTGGGGATAATAACACCTGCCTGTAACCTGGTACATATCATATGATGTTGATTTATTTATTTGTGGAGTCAGGATCTTGCACTGTTGCCCAGGCTGGAGTGCAGTGGTATGATCATGGCTCACTGAAGCCTTGAACTCCTGGGTGTGGTGGTGCACACCTGTAGTCCCAGCTACTTGGGAAGCTGAGGCAGGAGAATCACTTGAACCCAGGAGGCAGAGGTTGCAGTGAGCCGAGATCACACCACTGCACTCCAGCCTGGCGACAAAGCAAGACTCTATCTCAGGAAAAAAAAAAAAAATTAAAGTAAAAAGTTCTGGTATCTAAAATGAGCAAAATCACCAGGCACAGTGGGTCACACTTGTAATCCCAGCACTTTGGGATGCTGAGGTGGGTGGACCATCTAAAGTCAGGAGTTTGAGACCAGCCTACAGTGAGCCGAGATTGCACCACTGCACTCCAGCCTGGGAGACAGAGTGATACTCCATTTCAAAAAACGAATTAGCCAAGGGTGGTAGCATGCACCTGTAGTCCCAGCTACTGGGGAGGCTGATGTGGAAGGATTCCTTGAGCCCGTAGGTCAAGACTGCAGTGAGCCATGATTGCACGACCTCCCTCCAGCCTGGACAACAAGCAAGACCCTGTCTCAAAAAAGACACAAACACACACACACACACACACACACACACACACACACACACACACCCACTAGAAAACAGGACAGAACAGCATCATTTCCTTATCATTAGTTTGAAGGAAGTGAATTGCCTGTAAAAGTTTCCATTTTCAAAAAAAAAAAAGGCATTAAAATACAGTGTAAGGCCAGGCACGATGGCTTGTTCCTGTAATCCCAGCACTTTGGGAGGCTGAAATGGATTGCTTGACCCCAGGAGGTGGAGGCTGCAGCGAGGATTGAGGCTCAAGCGATCCTCCTGCCTCAGCTCCACAAGTAGCAGGGACTACAAGCGCGTGCCACCATGCCCAGCTAATTTTTTGTATTTTTGTAGAGACAGCATTTCACCATGTTGCCCAAGCTAGTCTGGAACTCCTGAGCTCAAGTGATCCGCCGGCCTCGGCCTCCCAAAGTTTTGGGATTACGGGCGTGAGCCACTGGTGCTGGCCCAATTACTTTCTTCAATTTGAGCATGAGCGCTGGAAGAAACGCTCTCACTTGCATATAATTTTTTAGAGACAGAGTCTCCCTCTGTCATACAGACTGGAGTGCAGTGGCGCGATTTCGGCTCACTGTAACCTCAACCTCCTGTGCTTGAGCGTTTATATAATCTCGGCTCACTGTAATCTCAACCTCCTGGGCTCGGTCGCATATACACACACACACGGCTCACTGTAATCTCAACCTCCTGGGCTCGGTCGCATACACACACACACACATATACACACATACATATATACACACACACACATATATATACATATACATATATATTTGTTTGTTTAGACGTTGACTCAGTCTGTCGCCCAGGCTGGAGTACAGTGGCGCGATCTAGGCTCACTGCAACCTCCACCTCCCGGGTTCAAACAATTCTCTGCCTCAGCCTCCCGAGTACCTGGGATTAGAGGCGCCGGCCACTACGCCGGGCTAATTTTTGTATTTTTAACCGAGACGGGATTTTACCATGCTGGCCAGGCTTGTCTTGAACTCCTGACCTCGTGATCCACCCGCCTCGGCCTCCCTAAGTACTGGGATTACAGGCGTGGGCCACCGCGCCCTGCCGATCGCTTATATTTTTAAAAAGATGTTTTCTTCGTTTCCAGGCCCCTTCTACCCTGCTACAAAGTTTCAAAGCCTTAATGCTATTGCAAAGGGCCTTCAGAGGTCAAGCTCGGGGTGCAGCTCCCTAATGAGGGGCAGCCTCAGAGGGGGCCTACCCTGCCCAGGATGAGCGGCGCCAGGTAGCGGGAGACGATCCCCGGGGTCTCCGGGCCCTGGCTGGGGAGGTGTTGTGGGGCGCAGGTACCCAAGCTCAGAAGAGGCGAGTGCGGGGCTGCTGACTGGGCTGTAGTTGGCGCTGGCCATTGAGGAGCTTCCGAGCGACCGTGCGATCGTGCCCGCCAGGCGCCGGCCGCTTGGTGCCCAGCGCCTGCTGGCTCTGAGTCTGGCCTTTGCTGCGCCAGGCCAAGTCGTAAAGCTCCTCTTCTTAGCTTACGGACTAGGCTGCCAGGCCCAAGCCTCGGGACACAAAAAGGCCCGCTCAGCGGCCGGTTACAGCCTGCCAGGCCACCTGTGGCCAGACATCCGCGCATGCGCTCCTGGAAGCCCCCCCCCCTCCCGCAGCCCTGCCGCCAGTTCCGATTGGCTCCGCGTGAGAGGCGGTCCTCGGTGACGTTACAGGGGCGCGCCTTTGGCGACGCCGTACAGGTGGGCTTTCGGTGACGTCACACACCCGGGCGTTAGGTAACGTCACCGGGCGTTACAGTACCTGGAGCTGGGCGGTCTTCTCAGTGTGGAGTCTGGTAACCAATACCTCCCCGCCAGGTCTTGTGTGTTGCTGGCTGGAGAAGGGTAGTTGAAAAACTCAGACCGAGCACAGTGTTTATGTCGATCAAAACTAGAAAATAGTCCGGGTGCGGCCGAGGTGGAAGGATCCCTTCAGTCCAAGAGCAGCCTAGCAATATGGCGCGACCCGATCTCTGTAGTCCTACCTCAGCACCCCCAGCTACTTGAACCCCAGGGTTCAAGGCTCCAATGAGCTATGATCCCACCACAGCATTCCAGCCTGCAAGACCGAGGCAAATCCTGTCTAAAAAAAAATTAAAAAAACGATCCAAGTGTGCAACAGAAAGGGACTGCTTAAATAAAACATGAGGCTGACTGGGCCCTGTAATCCCAGCATTTGGGAGCCCGAGGCGGGAGGATGGAAGGCTTGGGCTCAGGAGTTCGAGACCAGCCTGGGCAACATGACGAAACCCCATCTCTACAAAAGATACAAAATTTAGCTAGGCGCGGTGCTGGCCTCCACTTTGGGAGGCCAAGGCAGGTGGATCACCTGAGGTCAGGAGTTCAAGACCAGCCTGGCCATGGTGAAACCTAGTCTCTACAAAAAATACAAAAATTAGCCGGGTGTGGCAGTGCATGCCTGAAGTCCCAGCTACTCGGGAGGCTGATACAGGAGAATCACTTGAACCTGGGAGGCGGGGGTTGCAGTGAGCTGAGATCTCACCACTGCTCCCCAGCCTGGGTGACACAGTGAGACTCCAAAGTTTAACACCAGCTTAGGCAATGTAGTGAAACCCCGTCTCTATAAAACAAACAAAAAACCCAGGCGTAAATATGTCCACCTGTGGCCCTAGCTACTTAGGAGGCTGAGGCAGGAGCATCACTTGAGGCCAGGAGCTCAAGGCTGCAGTGAGCTACGATCATCCCACTGCTCTCCATCCTGAGCAATAGAATGAAAGCCTGTCTCTAGATAGTTAGCTAGCTAGATAATTGATACATAGTTTTCTTTCTTTCTCTTTCGTTCTTTCGTTAGTTCTTTCTTTTGACAGAGTCTTGTTCTGTCACCTAGGCTGGGTTGCAGTGGTGCGATCTTGGCTCACTGGCTCACTGCAACCTCTGCCTCCTGGGTTCAAGCGATTCTCCTGCCTTAGCATCCTGAGTAGCTGGGAATTAAAGGCACACGCCAGCATGCCCAGCTAACTTTTTGTATCTTTAGTAGAGATGGGATTTCACCATGTTGGTCAGGCTGGTCTTGAACTCCTGACCTCTTGATCTGCCTGCCTCAGCCTCCCAAAGTTCTGGGATTACAGGCATGGGCCACCGTGCTCAGCGGATAGGTAGTTTTCTTTTTCCTTTTTTTTTTTTTTTGATACAGAGTCTTGCTCTGTCACCCAGGCTGGAGTGCAGTGGCTCCATCTCAGCTCACTGCAAGCTCCGCCTCCCAGGTTCACGCCATTCTCCTGCCTCAGCCTCCCGAGTAGCTGGGACTACAGGTGCCCGCCACCTCCCCTGGCTAGTTTTTTTGTATTTTTTAGTAGAGACGGGGTTTCACCGTGTTAACCAGGGTGGTCTCGATCTCCTGACCTCGTGATCCGCCCATCTTGGCCTCCCAAAGTGCTGGGATTACAGGCTGGAGCCACCGCGCCCGGCCCAATACGTAGTTTTCTATCGGAAATTTTTTTCCTAGATTTGAACATGTTTTTCTAAAGTAGCATTCAACACATCAGCATTTTACAGTGTTATTAGTTGTTAATATGATTTTGTTTTTTCTGAAATACAGTATCCTTTACAAAAGCAGTTTTGTCTTTCAAAGCACATAGATAGGTCCTCAAGTGAATTTGTCTGATGTTTATGACCTTAGTACCATTTTGTCCACTTGATTGAAACAGTAATTTCAGGTCACTATTGGCCTTAGAGGAAGAGCCCAAAGGCAACAAACAAAGGTGCTGGCGTCCAGTTGCATTCTAGAAGCATTTTTGCCTTCACTTAAGGTTTCCCTTGATGAACATAGAAGTACTGTATGTAGAATTGACCCAGTGCTGCCCTGGCAACTTTGTATGTTAGGCCAAATTTACATTTCTTACCTTCATGAGAGGCACCCTGGTAGGCTACTGGAGTTACACATGAAGACTTACCTCAGCTGCACTGTCCAGAAACGCAACACGGTCCAATCAAATAACATTCTCTGAGCGAGTTTCTTCAGCTGTAAAACAAGAATAACAAGTATACTCATCTAAAAGGACAGCTTATTGTATCTGAGTGGTCTTTTATTTTCTATGAGACTGTCTTTAATGCAGTATTTCCATTGCCATACCACATTTGTTTTTGGGTTTATTTATTTTATTTATTTATTTATTTTTTGAGATGGAATCTGTTTTTGTTTTTGTGATGGAGTCTCACTGTTGTCACCCAGGCTGGATTGCAGTGGCATGATCTCGGCTCACTGCAACCTCTGCCTCTCAGGTTCAAGTGATTCTCCTGCCTCAGCCTCATGAGAAGCTGTGATTACAGGTGCCCACCACCACACCTGGCTAATTTATTTTTATATATATATATATATATATATATATATATATATATATATATACACACACACACTTTTTTTTTTTTTAAAGTAAAGATGGGATTACATACGTTGCCCAGGCTTGTCTCAAACTCCTGACCTCAAGTGATCCATCCACCTCGGCCTCCCAAAGTGCTGAGATTTTTGGCATGAGCCACCAAGCCCAGCTTGTTTTTAAAAAAGGATTTCTTGGCCAGTCTCGGTGGCTCACACCTGTAATCCCCGCACTTTGGGAGGCAGAGGTGGGCAGATCAACTGAGGTCAGGAGTTCGAGACGAGCCTGACCAACATGGAGAAACCCTGTCTCTACTAAAAATGCAAAATTAGCCAGGCGTGGTGGTGCATGCCTGTAATCCCAGATACATGAACCCCTCAGACCTGAGGATGAGAAACCTTGCCTCAGTTCTTCCCAGGTGATCAGCCCAGGGGTAAGGAAGGAGAGGCCGGAAAAGAGGACCCAGGAGAAGGGCCCCCTCCTGGAATTTGAGGCCCATTCCCTCCTGCCCTGGCCTCTCGTTTGTTGAGGACTCCTCCGTGCTCTGCCCCACTCCTGAAGCCATGATGCATGAGGGGCTGCATTTGAGTACATGCCTGTGTGGCAGCCCTAAGCCCAAAGTGGGGAGGCTCACCTGCAGGGGATCAGAGTAACATGGTAGGAAGGGCGGGTGAAGGCCACCCTGGAACCACACCTCTCTGCCCCCTCATGTCACTCGGGTGCACTCCTCCCTCACCTCACTCAGGCAGTGGCATGAGTTCAATGGGAATGATGTCCTGCTCCTTTTGCTGCCTCCTTTTAGTCTTGGGGCTCCCATAACACTTTCCCTTCCCCAGCCCTGCCAACCTGGTGGGACATTGGACTTCCCTCTCCGAGGGTCCTGGGGACAGGCCCATTCTGTGTCATACCCGCAGAGAGACCCTTTTTTTCTCCAGGGCTTGAGGATCAGCCAGGTTTCATGAGTTAAATGCAGATCTGAATCATATCAAGTTGAGATTGGGGTACACACGCTCCTCTACTGAAAAGTAGCGAGGGATTCCAACTTAGTGAGAGGGAGAATGGGGCAGAAGCAGACCAGACAAGGAGTGATCACCTGGAAAAAGCCTGCCATCAAAGGCCTTGGTGAGTACTGGGTGCAGTGGCTCACTCGTCAGCACTTTGGGAGGCTGAGATAGGTGGATCACTTGAGGTGAGGGGTTTGAGTCCAGCCTGGGGAACATAGGAAAATCCCATCTCTACTAAAAATACAAAAATTAGCTAGGCCTGCTATGGTCTTGTAATCCCTGCTACTTGGGAGGCTGAGGCAGTAGAATCGCTTGAACTGGGGAGGCGGAGGTCGAAGTGAGCCGAGATTGTGCCACTGCACTCCAGCCCGGGAGACAGAGTGAAACTGTCTCAAAAAAACAAAAACAAAAAAACAAAAGAAAATGGCCTTGGCAGAAGGACTGGCCTGGCAGTGCCTTCCCTTGAGTTTCTCCTGGGTAGGCCTCTACCATGAGGAAGTGCTTTCTTCTTCCTGTCCATGGCCCACAGGAAAGGAGTGTGTGCTTCTAAGGGGTTTCGTGGGGCACTGTTGACAGAACTGGAAACCATCTTCAGGTGGAGTTTTTTGTTGTTGTTGCTGTTGTTGTCGAGATGGAGCCTCGCTCTGTCACCCAGGGTGCAGTGCAGTGGCGCAATCTTGGCTCACTGCAACCTCCGCCCCATCCTGGGTTCAAACAGTTCCCATGTCTCAGCCTCCTGAGTAGCTGAGATTATAGGCATGTGCCACCACGCCCGGCTAATTTTTGTATTTTTTTTAGAGATGGGGTTTCACCATGTTGGCAATGCTGGTCTCAAATTCCTGACCTCAAGTGATCCACCCACCTCGGCCTCCCAAAGTGCTGGGATTGCAGGTGTAAGCCACTGTGCCCAGCCCCTTCAGGTGGGTTTTGAGGCTTCACTACAATACTAGTTTCCCGTGGCTGCTGCAACAAATTACCACACACTAAATGTCAGTGCTTTTGATAAGGTGAAACAGGTTAGCTTGTGGGGCTTTTGTTGTGATTTTGATTTATTAGATTATTTAGTTTAAAGACAGTAATGCTCAGGTGTTATAAAATTATAAAAACGATCTTCACATTTCATAATTTTTTTTTTTGAGACAAAATTTCACACTTGTTGTTCAGGCTGGAGTTGCAATCTCGGCTCACCACAACCTCCACCTCCTGGATTCAAGAGATTCTCCTGCCTCAGCCTCCTGAGTAGCTG